ATGTTCTACACCTAAAGTTGTTAGTTTTTAAGATACAGCAATATTTCTGGAAAAAACTAATTTTTATTATTTTCGGTCGCACGAAATGGCTTTGGAAAAAACTGTCACATTGTGTCAACGTATCAGTTTTGAGTTAATTTTATTAGTAAATATTTGTTAGTTGGTATTCTAAATACAAAATACCTAATAAAAACTAAGTTTTTTCAGAAATGTTGCTATATCTTAAAAACTAACAATTTTAGATATAGAACATGCTTAATTAATAAAAGTTGAAGCGGACCGATATGTGAATAAAATAGAACAATAAAATAGAGGGTGTTCCATTTGAAAAATTTTAGAAAATCAAGTTTAAACTTTCTAAAAATGATCATATTATAAAAAATGCCCTGTATAAAATATCGATAATAGTTAATATAGGAGCTTCCGTCTAACATTTGTCTATAACTCTGTCTAATTATTTTGTTCCAAGTGTTGGTAACTGAAAGTTAATACAACTTCTTCGAGGTCATGTTTTTCCCAAAATTCGAAGAATTTTCTACATCACTTGGCAAACCCCGCACTAAAATGATAAATTGTTTATATTGCCATATACAGAATTTTCTCGGAAATCCATACGTTTAAAAATATACAGGGTGTTCCATTTAAAAAATGTAATATTTAGCGTGTCCCGTTTTTACTCATCTCCCTGTATGTTTCAAATTAATTTTGTAGTATAGGTTTCTCGATTCTGTACAACTTTTATACTGTATTTTTTTCTGTATTATGAGTAACAAGGTAGTTATTTTACTTTGTCACACTAACGGCCCACCCTGTATAACCAACGGGGCACAAGTTTTATACATTTTCTTACTGTTCTACTTAACGTTTTTAAAATTGTGAAAAATACTCATAATTCGAGGTAAGGGATGGTTGAGGTTGAGAGTTCATTCGATTCGGGATGACGCATGCCGTCTAGAAAAATGTGCATAAAAATCGTACTCGCACATGAACAATTGCAAAAGAGATAAACAAATAAATGTTAAAAAAAGGTCAAATGACTCGAAAAATATAAGCGTTAGCGTCAATTTAAAAAAAGATCCTAAAAGAAGAGGAAATTTCCTGTTAGCTTCCGAATCTCTACGGTTGTTCAATGGTACATAATATTAAGAAATTTTTTTCTTTCTCTAAATTTATAATTTGCAATTCTCTAGATGAATACAGGAAACGAAAAATTTTTGATTGAAAATTTATTTTGTTTTTTTACTTAACAATCTGTTATAAACAATCGTCAAAAGTGCTGTTACTATTTTTTAGATAGAGAAAAAAAAACGTAACCAACCATACCTATATATTTTTTTTGTCATAAAACCAAACTAAAAAATTTTATAAAAAATTGAAAAAAAAATTGAGAAAATATTACCTAATTATATTTTGTAGTTTATATTATTATATAGTAAAAGTTACTATTGTAACATTAAACAAATTATACGATATCTGAGGAAAGTTTCGAGATTTTTTGTCAATTTGAGTGCAAATAACGGGTTTAGAGAGATTTAAAAAGCGGAAATGGGAATATCAACAGCATAAACAAATGTTTAATGAAGGTTAACCAACAAATAGACGACGGTAGTACAGATAAACGCAGCAAAATTTGTGATACTTGCGAATTTACTTTTCAGCCACATAACAATGAGTGGCTAGTCACCAAATATGGGTTGCTAAATTTCAGTGGAATAAACACAACCGCCATAAACTTTTAAGGGTTTAAGTCATTAGTATTCCCAATTTCTTAGGAATTCCTTAAGCCGTAACAATAAATACGGGATAAATAGACGACCTTCCTGGAAGGTACTTACCTAGTTAGTACTATACCGCTCTCCCCGATCGGGGCCTAGATTGTAGAAAAACAAACTTTATGGAATTCATTTTACTTTTCGCCATCTTGCAGTAGTGTACCATAAACTCGTATTTAATTGTGAAGTGCTATTTTGTTCCTTTACCAAGGATATACATTAAAACGTAAGTTTTATATACATATCTATTTAATTTTATATTAATTATTAACTTTTTGTAATATTACTATTTAATTACCTTTCTGTAATTTTTATTTATATTATGAACTAAAAAGTAAGCGGATTTCGAAAAATAAATTTAGATAATATATAGGGTGAATATATCTCACTACGCACTATTTTAACAGCGAATACTAAGCCACTAAAAGTACCTACGTCTAAATTCCATTGATTGTAAATCAAACTTTTTGATCAATAACTTGGAGTTGATAAATAGGTACCTACCGTCAATTTTATATGCGGGGGTCTTGACAAATATATCTTGTTTTTTTCTATCGCTCCTACATGATTATTGTAGACTGGCAACCAAACTGAAGAACCATATTCAAGTTTAGAACATACAAGTCAAAAAAGCATAATCTTTGGTGTTTCAATGTTAGAAAATAGCTTAGTATAGCGGATTAAAAAACCTAACATAGAGTATGCCACTTTAGTCATAGAATTGATATGATGAATAAATGTGAATTTTGAGTCAAAAAAGATACCTAAATCTTTGATATAGGTGTTACCATAAAAGACTAAGTGAAGTTTTCTACTGAAACTCATTTTGAAGCATTTAACGACAATTTATTCTTAATACACCACTCCTAAAATAAAAAATCGTTGCTGAAAGAGATGCGGTCTTCGATTGACGTTAATACTTGTTTAAAATACAAAATACTTTATTAAAGTATTTGCAATACAAAATATTTTTGGGATTATAACAAAAGTATTTTACTTTTTGCCATCTTGCAGTAGTGTAGCATAAACTCGTATTTAATTGTGAAGTGTTATTTTGTTCCTTTACCAAGGATATACATTAAAACGTACCTAAGTTTTATATAAATATCTTTAATTTTATATTAATTATTAACTTTTTGTTATGTTACTATTTAATTATCTTTCTGAAATTCTTATTTATGTTATGAACTAAAATGTAAGCGGATTTCGAAAAATAAATGTAACTATGTAACCAGCACGAAGTACATAATATACCGCGTGTTGTCCCTCGGCCCTTAGTTCTAGACCAGGGTCGATAATTTTTGAAACCAAAAAAAAATTATAGTAGGATGAAACCCATTGGAAAAGAAAGAGAATATAACAGAAATGAAAGGAAAAATAATTTACGGGCGATCTGAGGTCGGGAAGGGGAAGGGGGTGAGTTTTTAAGGGTAAAAAACGGTTTATCTTGATTTCCGGAAAAACTACAAGTCTTATGGAAAAAAGTTAAATGGCAAAGTTGTAGGTAATAAAAAGATCTACAACTTTTGTATTTACACTTTTTTCACATAACCTCAAAATTTATGTGAAAAATTCAAATAACCAAGTTTTTGGTTTTTTATTTTTATCTTTTAAAAAAAAATTTTTTTTTCACGAAATTTGGTGAAAACTTACCTATTTATGTCCCAAACACGCTGTAATTTTTTTGATTTGAAATATTTATTTTTTCACCTTATTTTTACTTAATATCGAAAAAGCACCCTAATTTTCAATCGAAAATTCTCACGTCAAAATATCTGCTTTTTTAAAAACGTCGGTGGGCTTTTTCTTCGTTGAAATCTCTACTTTCTGATGGTGTAAAAAAAAATATACATTACTATGGTAAGTTTTCTCAGGAAATGCAAAGAAACGAAAGAAGATTCTACAACTTTCTCAAAATATTGTAGATGTCTTATTAAATATTAACTTTATTAACTTATTTGGTTGTTAATTATAATAGTATATTTCGACTTGTAATTTTTTTGTTTATCAATGTAACATGGAATCTTACGTTTTTCGAGTAATTAAAGTGTAAATTTTAATAAATAGCTCAAAATTGTACATAATGATTAGAAAAAAATTTTCGGATTCTAGTTCGTTTCTTTGCATTTCCTGAGAAAACTTACCATAGTAATGTATATATTTTTTTACACCATCAGAAAGTAGAGATTTCAACGAAGAAAAAGCCCACCGACGTTTTTAAAAAAGCAGATATTTTGACGTGAGAATTTTCGATTGAAAATTAGGGTGCTTTTTCGATATTAAGTAAAAATAAGGTGAAAAAATAAATATTTCAAATCAAAAAAATTACAGCGTGTTTGGGACATAAATAGGTAAGTTTTCACAAAATTTCGTAAAAAATTTTTTTTTTTGTAAAAGAAAAATAAAAAACCAAAAACTTGGTTATTTGAATTTTTCACATAAATTTTGAGGTTATGTGAAAAAAGTGTAAATACAAAAGTTGTAGATCTTTTTATTACCTACAACTTTGCCATTTAACTTTTTTCCATAAGACTTGTAGTTTTTCCGGAAATCAAGATAGATTTTTGTAATATTCAATTTACCGCCGAAACATTTGCTTTAATTTTTTAGAATACTTTTAACACAGATTCCCATTTTCTTTTAAGGTCGATTGTGTAATCATTTCGCAACGCAAGACAAAAATTTACTGAAATTTAATATATTAAAATTCACAATTCACCATTCGTTATGGGACTGCCTCCGAGAAAAATTTGCTCTACTGACATCGTATCGACGATTAGTATCGGTATGAAATCGTAATAAAAATAATAAATAAATTTGTCGCAACTTATAGTACTTATACTTAGTTGGATTTTGCATTCGTAAATACATTGTTGACATTTAAATTTGTGCATAAACATAAAATTGATTGTCGATCAAATATTAATGAATTTTATAATTTTATAATAAATTATAAAGTTAAGTTACTGGACCTTGTGTATATAAAATTCTGCCATGATTCTGCCAGAGACGAATTTCTCTTCTACAATAATTGAAACATAACCTTTATTTCATAATTTGTTTCTATCTAAAGCAATTGATTTTGATTATAAACTAATACACAAACGTTCCTGAAATTATAGTTTAGAAATAAGGCATTGAAAACTAAAATTTAGAAGCACTAAATGTTTACTTTAGCTTTTTAGCTACTTTTTTTTTAGCCTACATTTATGATATAATCCAGATGTAATGACTGTAAACAGAAGACAAATGGATCCTTCGCTGGAAATTAGAAAACTCTCCCCAAGATACATAAGGGAGTTGGCTCAGATACTGGAAACTCATGAATTGTGGAAGAGACTAATGTCAATCATACCAAAGACACTGGAAAAGTTTAATTTCGTGTGTAATGTTACCTTAGATAATCCCCACAAATATAATTCAGAACATTTTAAGTAATGCATCTTAAAACTTTTGAAAAAGATGAAGTTTATCAATGGTTTTTTTTTAGGTTAATAGAGAATGCATCGGAAAGGTACAGGAGAGCTTGTACTGAAATATTGCTGGACGAATGGGGTACATCAGGCAGATTGAGACCGGTTCTAGGTCATTTGCTGTACCTCTTAACACAAGCAAAATTGTTTCGAGCTGCGGATTACATTGCTGTGGATCTCCTAAAACAGGAGAAACATCAAAGACCAAGCACTGGCCCAGAAGCTTTGATACCAATAGTATTATCTGAGCCTGCAAAACAGAAGGATAAACATCTGGAAGAGGTTGAAAGATCATTGGATCAAATCGGTTACCTTGATTCTGCGTTGATGTTAATTAGAACTAATTCCGAGGAGGCGGCTAGACATCAAAATGTGCCTTCAGTGATATCACAAATAGTTATAAGTCCCGATATCGATGAAGACAATCATGGACCACAGTTCTCTGTGCCACTCGTCGTGCAAAGGGAAAGAATCGATTCAGACATAAATAATGACTCTGATATGATGAAATTCTCGACAGGATCTCAGTCAACAACCAGCCAAAATTTGAACGAAACAAAATATAGGCCTGAAATATCACAATTACTTAACGAATCACCGATTTCAGTGAATATTTCAACACACTTGTTACCGAGTATCTTAAACAGTTCACAGAATTCGTCCGACAATTCAACAAAATCACGACCGTGCACATCGCCTTTACCCAATATTTCTCTCAACACTCTTCTGCCACATTTCACTTACGGTGAAAAACGCTACAAACAACTTCAATCCTGAACCTTACAGAAGTATGCAGGAGAATGGTCGGTTTTTAGGCTCTGGCGCTTTCGGCTCCGTTTTCCTAGCCCTTGGATTGCTCGACAGACCTGTGGCTGTAAAGAAATTGGTAGTTAACATCGACGATACTGTCACTAAGCAGTTCCGGAATGAAGTCGAGGTTCTCAACAAATATAAGCATGAGAATTTGTTGTCGTTGCTTGGCTATTTTTGCGATGGATGTACATGTTGCTTAATGTACGAATATATAACAGGAGGAGCACTCAAAGACAGACTACAGGTACTTCCATTTAAAGTATTTTGATTTTCAACTAATGATATTGTGAGAAACTATGACCTACTATAACATATGTTATACAGGTTATATCTCACCCACAATCAAAACATGTTTGTAAATAGACATCGAAATAGCTAAATCCTTTGTTGGTCATCTGATCCGAACTAATAAGTTCTATGTCTGACGATTTAGGTATTTACTAGATATTTGTGGTGTAATTCTATGCCAGGTGGGGCATACCTACATTTCCTATTTAAATGCCAACGAAAACTCTGGTTGTATATCAGAAGGAGAGGCAGTTTTTAACGCTGGTCATGTGGTAGGGGAGATAGGGGAGCATTGGCCACTTTTCTACTTAAATCAAAATAAAACTGTTATTTTTTAATAAAATCAACTATTTATTTCTAATATCAATGGCACATACATTTGACTCAAATTATTGCGACGAATAGTTATACAAATGTAATCAGTCTCAAAGTTGCATGATTTTTCCTGAACCTTGCCATAAGTGCCCAAACCTCCCAATGGTTGGGTGGTTTGGGCACCTCTGTGGGAGGTTTGGGCATTGTATTGCATACGCCACATAATATCTACTAAATTATTTTGATATGTTATAACTAAAGTAACTTAACAAATAATAAAGATTAGATGCTCAAAAATCAGTATTCTTACATAAATAATAAAACTTATCTAACATTTGGTATAACCCAGATAGGCTTATTAAAAGTGTATTTGGAGTTGCCACGTTTGATCCATATTTTTGGTTGTGGCAATTTAGTTTTAATGTCTGTTAATGGGACACTTGAAATGTCTTCGATATCGGGATACATAAATGTATTTCGAATCTTGCTCATACGCAGAAATTTAACAGTTGCCATGGAGGGATCAACTTCTTTAATTTGTCCAACATAGTGATAGGTAGTTTTTTTGGTGTCAAATTTGACCATGACATAATCGTTGACTTTGAAATTTCGATCTAAAATAATATCATCTTCGTCAAACGATTCCTCTTTTGATGATTAATAATGGTGGGAGCATTGGGCATGCCCAAACCTCCTTTCAATATTAGTGCCCAATGCTCCCCATACCCTCGTTTTGCAAATTAATCCAAATATACATTTTATTATTCAAACATTATGTATCAATTTATAGGTTAATATTATCTTCGATAAACACACATTTACGTATAATCAAAGAAACTTACGCCTTTTCACAGATTGCTCTGTTATTTCCCTTAAAATCACAACAAAATATTTACTTTTGGGTGCACGAAACCGTCAACCGCATGACACACTGACAACTAAACGAAATGACAAATGACATTAGTCTAAGCAGTGTTGCCAGTTGTCAAACTAAACTACCACAGTATACAAAAATAAATATCTACTACACGTCTCTAGTTACAAGGTGGTGCTCGAACCTCCCGACTGCCCAATGCTCCCCTATCTCTCCTACTATGTGGGAAAATTGGGCAAAGTGATTTAAATTTAGAAATTTATTCATTGTGTCTGCAAACTAGTGCCCTTACTAACAACCCTCTTGAAATTCAGGGAGTATTGTCTGTCGACAATAATATTTTGAACATTTCTTCAATGGTTTAATGAAAACTTAATTCTGGATTTTTTTTGGATCATGAAAAACAATCGAACAATAATAGTTCGACAATTTCTTCTTTACAATTTATCCATAACTGCTGATGTTTTCCTCACACTATTTTCTTAAAATAACAGTGTTCAAAAAACAAACACTAAACACAGTTTTAAATAAAATACAAAACAAAATGTCTTGCACACAAGAAATGTTTACCTTGTTTCGCTGGTATCACTTGTCACCGCCAGAGGGCCAGCTCTTAGCTGCATTCGCGGATACCAATGACATTTAATATATGACATAATTTATAGCTTATATCTCACCCATTAGTGTTATTATTATTTTATAAACTTTTTAGGTAAAGACAAACTCCAGTGGAATGAAAGATTAAGCATAGCTATGGGCACCGCCAGAGCTGTCTCGTATCTACACACTCCATAGCAGCTAGCTTCGTCAACAAAACAAAGTTAACAAGTCCAATAGAAGCATCCATTATTCTATTTTCACAGATTTAACAATCACACAAGTGTCACCAAAAAGTTGTAAACTATAACTGATGTAAAACAAACCTCCTCCCAAAGTATATAACATTTCTGATGTGACGTCACATCAGAAAACGCCGTAACAACCATTGTCATTTGTTTCCGTAAGTATGCCAGGAAACTATAAAGCAGATGTAGTTTAAATATTTGAATTTCTTAATACCTCACGGTTAGTCAACCCTTATATGAACCGTTAAAAGATCGATTGTTTATTATTTGAGACGATATATGAGGCTGGCTTATAGGGTGTATAACGGTACGATGGTAACTGAATAATACTGTAGGAACTGAAATAGCTATTATTAATAATTTTATAATTATCGGGACTATATATGAATGTTGATGGGGTTGTTTTAGTTAAACAAATAAGAAAACATTGTATGAAGACCTGTTCTACTACACACATTTTAAAATCTGTGTTTCTGATGGTTACATATGATGCACGTTCTAGTTAACCGCACTTGTTCTAGAGGCAGCCGACATGAGGAACAGTGAAACGAGCAATCTTCATATCTCGTTGTTGTGTGACAATCATAATGCCGATGTTCATATTCCTCCACACCCGAAAGACGTACTAATTCCATATAGCACATATGGTAGAGTTGATGTTGCTCGTCCGGGTCTGTACATACGAGCACCATGCAATATGTTTAGCAATATTGCTAATCTCTCAACACAACCTCACCGTTGGAAACCTCGTGGGACCTCATTATAGTGTTGTTTATCACGTCGAAGTAATCTTCGACGACACCTTCGTCCACATAATCGGCTACCTACATATATAAAAAAGACAACAAAATTTTAATGCGATTTTCATTTTTTTTGCGTTATTACCACAACTTCACCATCTGCACCTCCATCAATCGCTGGAGAGTTGTCATCGTCTGCATCCACCTGACCTTTGCCGTCGTCATCCATATCACCAGCTTCAATGTCGTTACCCTCCTGGTCCACTTCGTTTTCTGAAACCTCATCGATCTCGTCGTGAAGTGGGATACCCCAGGCGTCCTATATAATAAAATTTTACAAGAGGGATTTATAAAACCTACACTTTTTTTTACAAATATTTACCTCCTGCTCCATAGCAGCTAGCTTCCTCAACAAAACAAAGTTAACAAGTCCAATAGAGGTATCCATTATTATATTTTAACAATTACACAAGTGTCGCCAAAAAGTTGTAAACTATAACTGATGCAAAATAAATCTCCACCAAAGTATAAAACATTTCTGATATGATGTCACAATGTCACATGTATAAGAAAGGCCATAACAACCATTGTTATTGGCTTCCGTAAGTATGCCAATACACTATAAAACAGATGTAGTTTAAATATTTGAATTTCTTAATACCCCACGGTTAGTCAACCCTTATATGAACCGTTAAAGGATCGATTGTTTATTATTTAAGACCAGATATGAGGCTGGCTTATAGGGTTTATAACGATACGATGGTAACTGAATAATACTTTAAAACTGAAATAGATATTATTAATAATTTTATAATTATCGGGACTATAGAGGGTGATTCAGTCATAATGTCATTAATTTTAAGAGCAGATAGAGAAAAATGAATATACGATGGCGCGATTAAAAAAAAATAAATACATATTTTAGCAGAAAAAATATTTTCAAATCATTATCTTCAAGCTATTACTGACCGGCTGACGTCAGTCGGTTATTCACAATTTGCGCACGGCTACGATTTGAACAACGCGCCTTAGATGCAACGTTATCATATTTATATATTTTCGCTCATATAAAGACAATAAATAAACGGTTTGCTCACGTCAGCCAATAATAATTTAAAATGCTATAAATTATTTTTTATAATTATGCAATCAACACATTAAATTGTTATTGTTGCCTAAAATCAGTTTTTATTTACATCATAATGTTAATTTTTTAATTTGCTGGAAGCCTTCGGGCAAATGTTCAAATACATTACCGTTACCGTCTATGCACAAGTGTACACGTTGGATAGATGAGCGGTGGATGCGATGGAATAAACCAGGGTTGTTACGTATTTCTTCAGCGGCATCTTCGATACGATTCCGCAACTGCTCTACATTCTCTACCTCGGTGTAATACACGACAGATTTCATATAACCCCATATACAAAAGTCCATAGGATTATGGGCCCTCCCTATCCACCGATTGGGACATTGATCATCTAAAAATCCACGGACATCGTGAGCAGAATGGGCCGGAGCTCCGTCGTGCATACCTGTATACCACATATCTCGTAGCATCTGAAGGGGAAAGCTTTCAAACAATTCTACTAAAAATTTCGAATGTACGGTTATTACAATTTATCATTTTTAATATTATTAACGTTTTAACGTTTTATAATTTATTATGTTAAATAATAATACACAGTTTTAGTATTTCAATTTATTATTCAATATGCAGTTGCGTATAACCAAAGTTTACATAAAAAATGTAAACTTTAGTGTAAATATAAACTCTGGTGTTACCTAGGTAGGTACTTATTCTTATTGTTTTTGAGAAAGTGTAACGTCCCTGCTCGGGCGCCAAATTTTTGTAACGCACTTTCCTGCGGTTTCGGTTCTGGTGGTGGTGACGGTTACTTACGTTACTTATGGCCGCCCCCGGTATACTACCAACTCTACACGGAATCTTAATTCGTAATTTCGAATTCTAATTTGCTATATTCAGTGACGTCACTGACGTCCCTATTTGGACGCCTAATTTTATGACGACCCTTGACTACTAGTTTATCGGCAGCGGTGGTTGGCAGCCGGCGGTGGTGAGTGACGTCACAGGAACGTACTCCGGATTAAATCTTTTTGTGCGGTTTTTGTCTCGGGCGCCAGTTTCCCAATCGGTTACGTGGGGGAAACTCCACGTGAAACCTACCCTCGGTTTAGAGTAAGTACTCGGGATAGCTGCAGTGAAGAAAGTTTAATTCCAGGGGTCTGTTATATTTCTCTTAATTTCAAGCAAAGTAGTTCTCTGAGTGTAGTGTTATTTTCCTTTCAAAATAAACGGTCTTATCAGTGTAGGTCACAAAAAGATAAGCGGACCCCTTTTTTACTGATCGGAATTTTATCAACTTTGTCGGCGTTAAGAATGAATACAAACGGGAATTATATTTACTAGATTTATTAATCAGGCCTATTGAATTTGAAACAAACAAACAAAAGTAAAACAGATTCTAATTACAATTATTATTACTAACTAAAACCAGGTATATACAATAAATTTACAAGCGGTGTAAGAATGAAATAAAATGGGTTAGAGATAAAATGGGTTAGAGCAATTATTTGCGACGGGTTTAAAAATGCCGATACGGTTTTCGGAGCTGTAAATAAATACAAATTAGTCAAATATCAGGACACAAAATCGGTACGGTAGAAAACGGAGTCTTTGGCGTTTGGTTTATTTAATAAACAATCTAAGACTTTACGAAACGGTACGCCAGAATAATATTCGGTTTTAAATTTCGGTCGGTGCTAGAAAGGGAAAAATAAGATTAATAAATTAGAGCAATAAATAAATTGTTCCCAATGGTTCTGAAACAGAAAAATAATTACGGGTGACTCTAATTCTACAAATAAATATCGGCGGCAGTTTCTAGCAAAGCGACGGAAATTAAGCGGAAATGCGACCAGCCAGGAGAAAAAGCCAAGCAAAGCGGTTTAGAACGGACGTAAATAAGCAAACGGTAGTCAGGAAAATGATTTATGTTGGTGAACAGGAGGCAAAGTCTGGTCGAGGTGCGAGTTCAAATGCGGGGCGGCCGACAGATTTCTTCCCGAAGCGGTGGAGCACCCAGCCAAACTTCGAGGGTCTATCCGTCGCTGCACAGCCGACACACAACGTCTTCTACTGGCGGTGGAGCACCCAGCCGAACCAGCAGTTTCGGTTATTGTGCCTTACAACGTTTATCAAGCTTAGGCGGTGGAGCACCCAGCCAAACCTTCGCTGACAACGCTGCTGCTGTACAGTCTGACACCTTCACGTCCTCTACTGGCGGTGGAGCACCCAGCCGAACCAGCAGTTTCAGTAAAGGGGCGCACAGCGTTTGTCGAACGACGGCGGTGGAGCACCCAGCCAAACCGTCGCCGATAACGCTGCTGCCGTACGAGCCTGCACTCAACGTCTTCCGCTGGCGGTGGAGCACCCAGCCAAACCAGCAGTTCGGTCGATGTGACGGACAACGTTCGTTGAACGAGGGCGGTGGAGCACCCAGCCAAACCCTCGCCGACAACGCTGTGGTCGTACTGTCTTGCCAGAGTTCAAAAACGGCCAGACTTATACCATAGCAGGACAAGTAAATATAGGAAAATACAATTTGCTTACTTATTCCGGACGGTTGCTTCTGGCGGCTAACTCCTTGGGTCGGATGGCGGTCTCAGGTCGGTCTTCAGGTTCTCGGGGTGGTCCTCGGGCTGGTACTGGAGCTCTTCGAGTTCTGGCAGCGAACTCCTTGGGTCGGGTGGCGGTCTCTGGTCGGTGTTCAGGTCCTCGGGGTGGTCCTCAGGTTGGCGTTGGAGTTCTTCGAGTTCTGGCAGCGAACTGAGGATTTTCGTCCAGGAACGGTAGTTTTATTGCCTCAATCCCCCCTTGACTAGGCAGGAGTCGTGGTGGGATTATGCGCGCGGCCCTCGACAAAGTGGGGCAAACGGGCGGTTCAACTCGACTCGCGGTTAATTGCTCTCACCCAATTAAACTAATTAAATAAATAACTGGCCCACGGCCTTGCATAAAACTGGAAATTAATACCGGTTCATTACAAAAGTAATATGTTTTTTACCTGTTTAAAATACCAGCACGAGTAAAACAGCGTTCATCCGTCCATCGCACTTTGTTTTAAAAATAAAAATAAAGTTAGGTTAGGTTCTTCGATTTAGGAACCAACTGCAAAATTCAAGACGA